GACTTTTGTTGAATCTAGCGTCTGTGTGGATACATCTGCATTGGGCAACAAATAATCTGGGAAACCATTGGGTACAGCAAAAGCGACAAAAGCTGTCAAAAAAGCGAATAAAAAGAAAGTTGTTTTAGTTTAAATGAAGATACGGTAACTGCAGATATACTTTCTAAACTATTTGCTCTCATTCACACAGACATCCACTACACCATGTATACACCCGAGGAGCTGCCGAGGAGCTGCCATGGAGCACCCTGGGGTTTAGTGTCCTTCTCATAAGATGAAGACCGGCTCTATCAACTGATCAACATCCAATCCAAATATCTGTTTATTGAGATTAGCAATAAACAACTCTAAACTTTAACTCACTTTGAAGTTGCCAACAGGGCTGTAAACAATGTCCGACGCACAGAAGAGAAGCTCTTGCCCCAGACATCCATAGGCTTCACTGGGGTGCACAAAATATAATTTGTTGATCCAAGAGGCTAAATCACACCGATAGCAAATGAGATCTTAGATTGGCGCAGATGGCGCATTATGAATGTTGTTAACTTACATGTAACCAAACATATCATAGGTTTATTTTGGAGTGTGTTTCTGCAGTAATTGATAATTGCACGTTTCCTACATTAGTGCATGCATGGCTGTTAAGCAAGTTAAAGAGTGTATCTACATCTGATTCCTCCACTTTGGCTGTGAAGAGAGTGGTGTGTATTTACATTATGAAGTAAGAAGTTTGTCACTGGGACAAAGTGATCTGTCGTGCACTACAAGCTAATATGGAAATTACTACAGAAATGATCACAAGATTAAAAAAAAGTCACAATGAAAAATTAAAAACAATTAATGGCTGTTAAATAAGCCGCAGCAGCTGAAATCCCTAAATTCTTCAACTGCTCAAGTTTAAGAGGAACCCAGTAATTATTTAATCAGGGGACAAATGAATTAGACATATGATGTGAAATTAATATGAGAATGTATTTTAACAGTCCATCTGCTCTAACAATTGCTCCACTGACAGAAACACCCACTCACTCGTGGCAAAAAGCAGCAGCGACGCATACACATGCATCAAACTCACTCACACAGATTCTCCGTTTTTTTTTTCTCTCTCTCTCTCTCTCTCTCTCTCTCTCTCTCTCTCTCTCATTCAATCCCTATTTTTCACTCATATATTTTTGGATTGCGTTATTTTCTACTCCTAAAAACATGGACTGTTGTCACAGAGACGGGCATGAGAGCTGACAAGGACAAGCTTTAGCAGAAAACCTCCATCTGATAAGCCTCATCGCCTGGCTGAGAGCAGGAAGAGGAGTGGCAGAAAGACAGATAAACAGACAGACAGACAGGTGAGAAAAAATGATGGGAGAGTGGGGTGCAGAGGGGATGAAAGGAGCAAATGAAAGCGGGCTTGCTGTCGGTTTTTGAACTGTGGGGTCATCTGCACCCCAGGGAGCTCAGTTTCAAGTCTGCAGCGTGGTGATCGGAACGAATTTAAGCTCAGACTCGAGGGAAGGCGCTCAGATAAAAGGAAAAAGGAGCAAAACAGATTGAGACAAAAACTGGGAATATGTAGAAAGGAGAACCATGTTTTTTCCTCACCTCCCTCCGTCCCCATGGAGAGGAATGCATTAGCAGAATGGCAGAGAAAAGCTGAGAGGTCACAACAGTGTTTTTCCCCCACAAGCACATGCGAGAGCTTCCAGCAGGCAGCCCAGACAAGACAACATTATTAAATGAATCCTTTTCATCAGATAAACAAAAACAATTTGCAGCAGCCACTAATTCAAAACATGCAAAACTGTGTGATTTAACTTCATCCACTGACTGTGATGTGAACTGGATGTGTTAGTCCGCCAGGAGGACTGCAAGATAAGTCAAAAAATCATTCTCTCTTAACTTCAAGCCACTAAAACGTCTCATATCTCCTCCAGTTTGGGAAAAAGGCTGATGCCGCTTGCCAAATATAAAGAGAGACCACCGATGATCAAGTGAAGCAACAGTGTTGGATAAAGGATGCAACTCTGCTTTGTCAAATAGACCACAAAGCCAAACAAAATGGATAAAGCAGACACATTTACACATCAAAGAAAGACATGTGTTAAATCAACCGGCAACCAAGAATAAAATGGCTTCTTATTAGATTTGACAGATGAATAATAAAAAACAATAAATGGAAATCAAATGTCTATGTCTCTCATATGTCACTGCTCAATGTCACATTGTCCTCCTGAAGTGGGGGGGGGGGTTGCCAATCTTGTCCCCCAGCCATCTCTCCAATAGGTCAACCTGGGTCATCCAATACTCTCTGACCCACCACCAGCCAAGTTAAGAGGCGTGGACTTGTGCACCCCTGGGTTTTCTGCCAGGTGGTCTGACACGACGCTTAGATGTTAAAAGAGTCCCACATGAAAACAGTTGGACCCCCACGATGGTCTGCATCACTGTGCGAATCTGCAGCAGAGTGAGCGCAGCTGGACTCACAGCTACATGTTACACTCATTGCACCGAGAATTGGGTGTCTGAGTAAAAATAAAATAAAAACAACACTCATGCGCTGTACCCTCCAAAATGCTCGCACACACACCGTCTATAATACCACGCACGTATACTGTGACATCCTCCACAGGCGGGTCCCCCAGGGTAGATGGTGATGAATGTGAGGCAGGTGACAGATTTGACCATCACGCTTTATGACTCTGGAGTTTTAAAGCATATGGCATTGAACCTGAATACTATTGGGCTTTAGACTGCAGCCTGTCCCCATTTTTCAGAAGCAATGTGAGCATGAGTGAAGAGCGGAGCGGCTGATAAAGCATGATGTATATAGTGATGGAGTGCTTTACTTCCCACTGCGTGTTCAGACAATTACACTATAATTACAGTTGTACCGCGTGTACGATGGACCTATAATCACCTAATCATACCGATCAAACCCACACAGCGCGCACTGACGCGACGCACGCAAACAGCTGGAAAGAGGTTTTCAGGAGCAGTTGCAATGGAAGGATATGAATGCAAATAGACACAGACATCATTGCGTTGTCAGCCATTAAAACAGCACAGCTCATCGAGCCTGTCAACACTACAGGTCTATTTACACAGGCACATTTCCACTGATCACAACAGGTGCAGTCGCCTCGTGCGCGGCTCTGCGGCCATCAACGGCACCGACGCATGGGCGGTCAGTGGCAGTAATCACCTTGATCACCTTTTAACACATGCAACCTGGGGTGGCACACCAAAGAGCGGTGAAGTGAAGCGTACCTGTCTGTGAAACGACTCTTCCCCCCGGTGTAAGATTCCCCCCGCTCGGTTAGAGCACCGCTGGCGGAGACGCTGAGGGTCTTTGGAAAGATGTGTTTAGTCTGTTTGCATCCGTCCTGTGCTCTTGAGGAGTCCGTCCGACAGCCAAAGATGGACTCATTCAGTCTGTGAGTGGGACCTGCCTCGGGGATTCACCAGCGTGTCATGTGCTCCCCACTTTACAGATAGTTATTCTCAAAAAAATATCAACTGGTTAGATGAGGAGAAGGAGGTGGATGGTGGTGATGTTGGAGATTAAGTCCGTTTTAGCTGAAGCCCAGACCCTCATGAACGGCCTCCAATTCGTTTTCTACATCTCACTTCTCATCGCCATATATTGTGAATTTGGGATGAAGCAGTTGGTATAGGGAGCCAAATCCTCGTCCTATCAGCTCGCCCAGACGGACGCCACCCAGAACGCCCACGGGTCTGGGTCTGACAAGCGGAGCTGCTGCTGCTGCTGTTGCTGCTGCTGCTGCTGCCAATTGACTATTATACAAGGATTCCAAAAATAAAGAATCACGATTTAATTAACTGTCAAATCAAAACCGGAGGAAGACCAGTCAACAGTTAGATCGGCAAACCTGCGGAGTGATGGGAAGGGATCTCCCGTGGCTCCCGGTGCATTTATCCTGGTGACAGACTTAACACATGTAGTCCGGTAAGGGAGGGGACACAGGGGCCGCGGCAGCAGAGGTACGACTGTGTAGGTGAGCCTGGAATATGCGACGCTGTGGTGATCAGGTGTGAGAGGGAGAGTCAGGAAGAGAGAGAGAGTGATACAGAGAGCGGGAGAGAGGGTGAGAGGGAGAGAGAGAAGGGGGGGAGAGAGAGAGAGAAAGAAAGAAAGAGAGAGAGAGAGAGAGAGAGAGAGAGAGAGAAAAAAAAAGTCATAACAAGTGACAGGACAGGTAGACGACGTGTTTTTCGGATGGAAAATGAGTNCATCTGCTGACTTCAATATTCAGTGAGCTGTAGGGTTGCCGGTTCAAGTCCCCGACCAGACCTAAATATGGAGTGTGGACTGCTACTTGGAGTGGGACCTCTCCAAGTAGCAGTCCACACTCCATATTTAGGTCTGGTCGGGGACTTGAACCGGCAACCCTACAGCTCACTGAATATTGAAGTCAGCAGATGTAAAAATATCAAGGAGGACAGCAGGGTGTGTGAACCATTAGATTGTATTTGCTTATAAAGTGTCTACTTTTATAGGTCTAAGAAATTAGAAAAAACATAATTACATCAGATATCATCCAATTAATTACAGACAAAGACTGCAACACTACAATATCACGTGTGTAATGTGTAAGAATACAATTATATATATTGTATTTTTTATTTGCTGAAACATTTCATAACATTCATCTGCTACTTAGTAATTATTTATCTATTATCTAATATATCATTCCAATAACTTGTATATAGACTCGTATTGCACTATTCCACTTTTTTTTTTCTCAATTTCTTTTCAACTATTTTTCTTTTTGTATTACTTTTAATATAATATACTTTAATATTGTTTTAATATTGTCTGCTTATCTGTATTATTGTGTTGCATTGTTGGAGAAGCCTGTGACCTAAGATTTTCAACTACATAATTACTCTGTAGCTATGTTAGTTTGACAATAAAGAACCTTGAACCTTGAACCTTATAAGATATTGATTATGAATCACTTCAGGGTTAGGGAAAGATTTTGGGGATGATTAAAAGAAACCGAAAGCAGATCAGAGGTAAGAGATGCAAAGTGCCAAAGTCACACAGCCAGACTGACCTCCTCACTAAGAGGCTTTACGTTGCTATGACAACATTACACTATTTCTGCCTTCATACATCCGCATCAACTCCTTGCCAGAAAACATAAAAATAACATATGTCATGTTTTTGTCAAGTGTTTGGACAAAGGAACATGTTCAGTCTTGTTCACAACCGCAGTGTTACAGCAGTATAGACAAGGAAATAATCTACTGCTGTGATGAGTCCCAATGTTTAAACACAAAACATTAACAAAACAAAGGTTATGTCAAATGTATATTCACTTCTTACCCCACCTCCCAACCCAGAAACCCTCACATCATTCAGCACCACACGACAAACACATTCAAGTTGACATGCAAACTAAACGTATCCACCAGAATGTATCAAAGCATTGCATAAAAGTCACTTTATTGGTATTTCTTAAGAGACATAGTAGATCTCATGTAATACTCATAGGATGTACAGTGATATGTTGTGTATTTGTCGTGCAGAGATCCGTGAAGCGTTTCGTATTTTGGACCGTGATGGGAATGGTTTCATCTCCAAGCAGGAGCTGGGCATGGCCATGCGCTCCCTGGGTTACATGCCCAGCGAAGTGGAGCTGGCCATCATCATGCAGAGACTGGACATGGATGGTGAGCCACTACATAAGGTCACACACTTGGGTGCAAGCATGCAAACACACACACAGAGTTGACCTTTTCATGAAGTCGCTTTCAGGAATCTACACGTGTTTGTATCAGTTGTTGTCTCTGAATTAAAATACGAAAAAGAATTGAAATTAAGCTGCATGAATATCTGAGTTAACTGTACAGTAAATAATACAAATAACTGTTAAAGATGCCAAAAACACTTCACTAAATGTTTATTTTACTTGCTTTAGGCTAAATGAACATTCGAGTTACAGCCACCTTAACAATGTTTTTGCTAAATTGTCTCTAAATTGCCTCGCAGATGGTGAACTGTCGAAAATAAATTACCCTGGAGACAATAAAGAGCGAACCTGTCTGCTCCTTCTCCTTAAACTCCGGCCCTCATTGTAAATCCGTAGATGATTGCAATTAATCCTAAGCAGTCCCTGAATCACAAACAAGCTAGTCAATCTTTCCTCTGGTTCTTATCTGCCTGCTCTTGATTCCACAGCATGCGGTAAATATCAAAGGTCACAGCTAAAAGCTTTTTTGCTTTTGCCTCCATGAGTGTTACGAGCCTCTGAGAGCAGCGCTGCCATTTGTTCTGAGGGGAGACAGTATTTCTGCTCCCCTGACTTCTATCATCTCCATGTCGGCTCTAATAAGTCACTGAAAGCGGTCGCAGCCACATTTAATTTCAGAATGTCAATTATCATCAGGTGTTAGACAACCTGCACGCTCCTTCAGATGATTAATGTAATGTCATTAAATCCCTGCTTCGGTTATTTGAATCCACTGATCTCTGGCATTACATTTATATCTTTCCCTCAGGCTTTAGGCAAGGTAGTCTTTCAATACAAGATTATATTATGCTAATTAAAAGCTACATTTTTAGAAACTGCAGTTATGTTTTATAACAAAGAACTGATGCCTGCTTGGTGCTAATAATATTCTGTAATACAAGACAACGCTTTATTTCAAAGGTCGGCAATTTCCTAGTAATTTGCAAGAAGCTCCCTGAAAATAAATGTGTAATTTGAAACTTATCGTAGGGTAAAAATGATATCTTCCTTGAGCTATCCATCAATCCATTCACACTGAAATAATTGAAACTTAACTAACCTTAAATGTTGAATTGGATGCTTGCCTGTTGACAGATTTCACATTTGTGCTTGTTCGGCTTGCCTGCAGAGCAGTGACTAGTACTTCCAAGTTTACGCAGCAATTAATTAGAATTAATTCATTACAAGAGTGTCACTTTAATATTGTCTCTATGTACCCAGTAATTAGCACTAAATCACATTATGCAGAAATTACAGACCCATTAAATAAATTGTTGTCATACTTCCAGCAGCATGGAGACTTAAGCATCTTATTCCCTTCAATATGCGGCCTATTATAAAAAACAACAAATACAACATTAGAGTATTTCTTTACGGGTAATAATATCAATATTGGCTATATATATATATGTATACAACTATTCATGCAGTGACTTTGTTAGTTATAGAACATGATATCGGGGAGATGTTCTCTGAGTATTAATGCTGTGGGACGCTGGCTGTTGTCGCTGCCAAGGCACACA